CGGGAGGAAGACGACATCCAACATGCCATCTTCTACGTTAGCAAGACCCTGAGGGAGGCCGAACTCAGGTACTCCCCTGTGGAAAAAACGGTGTTAGCCATCGTTTGGACTGTCAAGAAGTTGGGCCACTACTTTCAGGCTCACCCGGTTCAGGTCCTCACCCATCAACCCCTCGGCGCCCTCATGAGGAGCCCCACCAGCTCCTCCCGCATGGTGAAATGGGCTATCTTCTTGATCCAATACAACATTGACATCCGCCCAAGGCCCGCCATCAAGGGCCAAGCCCTGGCGGACTTTGTGACGGAGTGTACCGCAAGGGCAGCCACGGACGGGGAGCCCTCGGCTACCTCAGACGACTGGTGGACCCTCTACACCGACGGCTCCTCCGCGACCAAAGCATGCGGGGGAGGGGTAGTCCTCATTACTCCCGAGGGCTTCAGGGCCTACTATGCAATCCGCTTCTCCTTCAAAGTCTCCAACAACGAGGCCGAATATGAGGGCCTCCTATGTGGCCTTCGGCTGGCTGCCAACATGAGGGCTCGGCAGATCCACATCAAATGCGACTCCAAGTTGGTCGTCGCCCAAATCTCCGAAGAATATGAGGCCAAGGAGGGAAGAATGAAACAATACAAGGAAGCGGCCAAGGAGTTGCTTAAAGTATTTGAGGCACACTCTCTCACTCAAATACCGAGGGCTCAGAACTCCGAGGTCGACATATTATCTAAGCTCTCGGCCGACTCCCCCGAGCACATCTCCAAAATTTCCAAAATTGAGGAACTCAACCTCTCAAGCATCCACGCAAGCCTCGTTATGAACATACAACAACGCCAAGAGGATTGGATCTCAGATATCACCGCCTTCATCTCCACAGGGCAGCTACCCAAGAATGAGACCCGCGCTAAACTGGCAAAGCTGAGGGCTCCTAGCTACACCATCGAGAATGGAAGGCTCTACAAACGATCTTACAATGGCACGCTACTTCGGTGCCTTAATCCAGATGAAGCCGAGGTCGCAATGGAGGAAGTGCACAGTGGCACTTGCTCAGCTCACCAGGGACCCTTCTCCATGTCCCGAAGGCTCATTCTCCAAGGCTACTTCTGGCCAACCATGGCCAGGGATTGTGCTGACCTTGCCCGGAGGTGCACCGCATGTCAACATTTCCAAAAAGCTCCCGGCAGGCCAGCGGTCAACTATGCCCCCATCAGCACCTCTGTCCCCTTTTCTCGATGGGGGATAGACCTCGTGGGCCCTCTGCCGAGGGGTACCTCCAACAACAGGTACATCATTGTGGCCATCGACTACTTTACCAAATGGGTGGAGGCTGAGCCCCTCGCCAGTATCACAGAGGCGAAGTGCTGCCATTTTGTCCTCAAGAACATCCTCACAAGGTTTGGCGTCCCCCAGCAGATCATCTCCGACAATGGGACACAATTTGAGGCAGCCCCCTTCTGTGCCCTTCTGGAGGAATGGGGCATCAAACACACCTTCTCCTCCGTTGCCTACCCTCAAGGCAACGGGCAAGTAGAGAACGCCAACCGGACCTTGCTCGAGGGCCTCAAAAGAAGCTGGAGGCCGAGGGCGGTGGTTGGGTGGAAGAACTCCACAACATCCTTTGGGCCTACCACACCACCCCTCGGCGAGCAACAGGTGAAACACCCTTCTCCCTCTGCTACGGTTTTGAAGCCAAAGCTCCTACGGAAGTCACCCTTCCCACCCGAAGGGTGATCCAATATGACCCCAAGGTCAACGACAGCAACATGGCCCTCGACCTCCACCTCATTTCAGAACGCCGGGAGCAGGCCTTCATCCGGGCGGAAAACTACCGAAGGCAAGTTAAAAGCTACATCGACGCCAAAGTTCGCACCCGAGAATTTCAAGTGGGGGACTATGTCCTCCGGAGGAGGGAAGCCAGCCAACCAACCGAGGGAGGAAAAATGGCACCAAAATTCGAAGGCCCCTACATCATAGCAGCCATCATCAAACCTGGGACCTACAAGCTCAAACGCCCCAACGGGAAAGAAGTCCCTAGGCACTAGAATGTACACCACTTAGTTAAATTTTATCAATAATGTAAGAGCGGCCAAGCCCTCATAACTAGTGAATGTACTATCCTCTGGCCCAAGGCCTTCAATTTCGAAGAATGAAGATACATTCAAGACATCAAGCCCTCATACTGACTACAGGCCCCCGGCCTCACCACGAGAAGAACCCCCTCCGGCACCAAGTGCCGAGGGCGGACACCATCAACACCTACAACAACAGTGAAAACCCCACGTGTTTTCAGTCAAGACCCCTCGGTACCAAGTACCGAGGGAGGGAACTCCTATCACCAACAACAAGGAACGCCATGTGTTTCATTTCCCTTCGGCACCCAGTGCCGAGGGTACATCCCCACCTTCAACATCAAAAAAGAAAAGATGAGAACACCAAGTGTTCCTACAGAAGACCCTTCGGCACCCAGTGCCGAGGGTACACCTCCATCATCAAACATCGAAACAAAAAAAAACACCAAAATGTTTCAAAGAAGACCCCTCGGCACCCAGTGCCAGGGATATGCTCTCCTATCAACTTCCAAACATCTGTTCGGAAACACCGAGTGTTTCCTTTGAAGACCCTTCGGTACCAAGTACCGAGGGTAGACGCCTACATCAACTACGACAAAAGAGAACACCAAGTGTTCCTACAGAAGACCCCTCGGTACCAAGTACCGGGGGCTACACATCGAAACTAACACCAAGTGTTGTTTCTAAAAGCCGTACCCCACGAGGACGCATATACCGAAGGCGCCACCATCGGTGCCGGCGGCACGTAGTGCCCCCGGCCATTTGCAACTAGTGTGCAAATGAAAACCCTTCCTTGAAACGCTTTCCGCGTCACTACCCCCAGGGTATGACAGGCATGAGAAATGCCCAGGATTCGACTTTCAAAAACGGAACGCTATCCGCGTCACTACCCCCAGGGTATGACAGGCATGAGAAATGCCCAGGATTCGACTTCCAAACCGAAACGCTCCCCGCGCCACCACCCCAAGGGTGTGGCAGGCCACGGACTATGTCTAGCGCCGAGGGGACGACTTTCAAAAATGGGGCGCTTTCCGCGCCATCCCCCAAGGGGAGGCAGGTTACGGACCACCATATCTTGTGCCCAGGAAACGTCCCTCGATCCCCTCGAAACTCGGAAGGTTAACCCGAGGGAGGAGAGCCATTGGTGTATTCTGATGGTCTCCTAATAGGCCCAGCCTTACCAAGAAACCAAGTTTCTTGATGCCTTCCCTTCACCACCAACCAAAAAAAAAAGGGGTGAAGGGGAGTAGACTCAGCGAGAAATCAAAGAGTACACTCCAACAGATCACAACATCCCGAGGGCTCCCCACGGGGACACCTCCGGTAATTGAAGGCTCCTATTTCCCGAAGGATACCACTCAAACAAATATCATCAGGAAACGGCTAAGTCCACTGCCTGGTCACCTCCGGTCACACAAGCACCGAAGGCTCCAGCAAGGGTCGAAATCTACAACTTTTAAAGTGTATGTCGAGGGCACACACTCATCATTGGCATTCTTCACAACAACAGGATTCCACACATATTTGGCCCTCGGCCAGAGACTCATACAACACAAGGGATCTACATCCGGAAGCTCAACACCAATTTACACTTAGAAAATATTCTAAGTCCTAAAGGAGTAGCCCCCAGGCATCTCGCAAAGTAATGCAGAGTCAGAGGGCACCTATCACCCGAAGGCTACACAAGGAAACAACACTTGAAAAGTTTCCAAGTCCTAAATTTGGGCCCCCGGCTCAATCAACATTACAGCCAGGGGAATACGATAGCCGAAGGCTATGCGATACAACAACACTTGCAAAAAAAAAAAATCTAAGTCCTAAAGATGGGCCCCCGGCTCAATCAGTATTGCAGCTAAAGGAATATGACAGTCGAAGGCCATACATCAAGAAGGGATGCCATCTCCCGAAGGCTCCCAAGGGAAAATCTACACTTAGAATATTTTCTAAGTCCTACATGTTTTTCCCCCGGTCAACTACTCATACATCATGGAGGGATTCCATCTCCCGAAGGCTCCCAAGGGAAACTCTACACTTAGAAGATTTTCTAAGTCCTACATATTTCACCCTCATCTCAAGGGACCCAATTGCCAAAGGCTACCTATCAATCGAGGGCTACAGTACACAAGGAATCGACATTCAAGAAAATTTTCCAAGTCCTAAAGAATTGGCCCCCGGCCTATTCAATATTTCAGTTGGGGCTCCACAGTAGCCGAAGGCTACGTGACATACTACACTTGCAAAAAATTTCTAAGCCCTGTACATTGGGCCCTCGGTCCAACATTCACACATCAGGAAGGGATGCCATATCCCGAAGGCTCTCAAGGGGAAATCTACACTTAGAAATTTTTCTAAGTCCTAGGATTTGGGTTACTACAAACGCCCGAAGGCCTCATGCTGTGTTACACTTAGAAAAAATTTCTAAGTCCTAATTGCTGCTGAACTCTCGGTTGCATATCCATCAGAGGGTGCCCAACTACCGAAGGCATCCGGGGGCAAGCTACAATCAGAAAACATTCTAAGTCCTAAAACATACATTCAAAGGAGAGGGCATACATTCAAAACATAAGGCGCATTCAAATATGAAGAGCCCGGAGGCAGCATGCATTCATAAAAAACAAGAGTGAGTGTGAAATTACAAACAGGCCGAAGCCGAAGGATCAAAGTTATTCATTACAAAATATGTTCAGGGATTTCTAAGTGCGTATTACACATCAACAACATCATTCCCGGGGGCACCCTCCCCCGATGGCTTCGAGGTAACCTCCGTCCCGGTGGCGTCCTCGGCATCATCATCGACGCCCATCATCATGGAATCATGAATCACCGGGCGCTCTTCTCCCTCGGGGAGGGGGACCCGCACACCTGGCTGCAACGGGGGGAGGCCGTACACCGAGGGGTTGAACTCATCCAGGGAGGTGCCAAAATGCCGGGCGAACCTCCGGTAAACCAGGTGCTGGGTGAAGAACTCGCCAGCTTGATAGTAGGTGTCACCCCTCTCATTCATCCAGTCGAGCCCGGGGCCCCTCACCCACTCCTCGATCGAGGCCTTCACCACAGAGGCCACCCACTCGCTCTGGCCCTCGGCCTTCCAGCCCTCGGAGGTGAACCCAGCGATGGCCTCTTCTCGGGCTTTGGCAGCAGCTTCAGCCTTGGCCTTCTCGGCGTCCTCGGCAGCTTGTTTTCTCTCCTCGGCCGCAACCCTCTCGGCCTCAGCCCTGCCCTCGGCCTTCCCGTCTTCTCTGGCCTCCTTCAGCCGCAGCTCCGCTTGCCGAAGGGCGTCCTCCAACTTGCACACCTCCCGGAGGGCAGCGTCCTTGTCGTGAATCAGCTCCTTCACGGACTTCTCTAGCTCGGCCTTATGACGGCACCACTCCTCTCGCCTTCGGGCCTGCTCACCGAAGGTTATGCACGCCTGTTGAATAACGGACAGGGGGTTCAGACGGGCATTGGGATTATGCTAAGTGTTAAGATAAAGTCAAAGTAAAAACACTTACAGTCAGAGCTGATCGAAGGGCCTTGGCTTCGAGGACGTCATCGTCATAGGTGGAGAGGGCTTCCTTATCCATCATCGAGGTAATCCCCCTCAGGAAAGACATCGGCTCGGCTGAACCGTGCAACACAGATGCCCCCGGAGCGAGGGAGAGCTGAATAATCTCCCGAGGCAGGTTCCCCGGGGGAAGGTCTGTTTGAGCCATCAAAGTGTCAATGGCCGGGAGGTCAGCGGAGGGCTGATCATCGATTACTATGAGGGGGGCCGCCTTTTCAACGGCGCCCCCGGCAACCTTCTGCTTCTTGATCGGGGGCTCCACCCCCTTGCCTCCCTTTTTCTTCTTGGCCGCCACATCGGCCTTCGGCCCCCCGGCCACATTAGCAGGAGCAGCAGCAACTGAAGGCTCCGCAACCTCCTTTGGGAAAACCTCATCAATGGGCTTTTGACCCGAGGGCTCTTTCTTCTCCTTCTTCTGGGCCTGCGCCCTCTCCTTCTTCTTTTTCATCGCAAAGAGAACCTCCATACCTGCAAAACAAAGCGAAGAGAATATTAACCCGAAGGGTTCATACCACAAACAACTGTCGGGATGCAAAATGAAAATGCCTAAGTATGAGACTAAGGGCCCTCGTAGACTACCTCCTGCTCCCCCGAAGGCCTCAGCAAATACGGGGTACTTCTCGTCTGTTTCCCCGATGAACCGGTACCGTTGGAACCCGAGGGCATGCAAGTCTTCCTCAAAAGTGCATTCTTTGATCGTCACGACCTTCGTCTTGCCCTCCGGGATCTTGGCGAGTTTCAAGCCATCCTTCTCTAGGGCAGCACTCCCCACCCTCTCGTGGCGCCGAAAGCGGTCCCGTAGCTCCCTCGGGAAGGGATTCTCGGCCAATCGGACGTAGCACCATCTGTCTTTCCAGCCCTTATTGGACGAGGGCGCCTCGGTAAACAGCTTGAACTTCGCTACCTGCTGTAAATTGGCGAAGCCCTCGGCATTCACGTGCCCCCCTCGGCATAAGTTGAAGCTTTGGAAGAAGAGGTCCAAGCTTGGGGTAACATCCCTCGTCCGGCACAGGTGCAGAAAGCCAGCAATGTATGAATGGCTGTTGGGGGTAAGTTGGCAGGGGATGAGTCCAACAAACCTGAGGTACTCCCGGAGAAATGGGTGCAGGGGGAACCGGAGGCCCATTGACACCGACATAATGTGGACGGCAATGCATCCCTCGGGTGGCCTGGACAGCAGATCATCGACGCCTGGCTCCACCACTACGGCCGAGGGCCCAACATGCAGCTGCGTGACGTACAAGTCAGCCCTGTCCGCCTTCGACTTGATATCGAGGGCTTCGGTGTTTAGCCAGGTATACCCCTCTGGCATTTCAACAGGCCCCCCAGCACCGGCGGCAACACCCTTCTTCTTGGGGGCAGCCCTCTGCGACTTCATCTTCTTTTTACCGGGGGCTATTCTCAGAGGCGTCGGGTCCAACGGCCTGGAGGTACTAGGCTCACCACAGTCAGTCCGAGGGGGTGGCACAGCAACAGTGACCGTCATCGCCTCCTTTTGGGCTTCGTCCTCCGCCACCTGATACGCGAGGGCTAGTTCTTCATCTTCGCACTCCTGTTCGAAGCCCTCGGCTTCCACTTCAGCAGCAAGGGCCTTCTGTAACTCCAAGGCCACGGCTTCGTCATCGGCAACCGAGGGCGCACTGCTGCTTGACTCAACATCGGAAGCCACCTCATCCTCAACCGAGGGCTCCCTCGAGATATTTTGGGAATCGCTCTCGGACGACATTCTTTGCCACAAAATGTGCCTAAGATTTCGAAGGATTTCTACGGAACCCTAACCCTAAACTAAGGCCAGAGGGAGGAACTTACAAAAAGTGTTGAGGAGCGAAGGGAGAACTAACCTCTGAAAGTGCTATGACCGAGGGCTTGAGTTTCTCTCTCTAGAATTTTTGGCAGAGCTTTGCTAAGGATTTTTGGACGCGTAAGGAAGAAATGGCTCTGGCTCCGGGGTATTTATAGACCCCAGAGTCCGGGCTTGGGCCCGAAAACTGGGCCTCCGGATGGACGCCATCATTACACATCGCGTCTTCGCCCAACCAGTGACGCCGCCCACGGACAGCCAGCCATCACACGCCACGTGTACCCCCCCCCCCCCAACGGCTATAAAACCTGACGTTACATATTCCAACGGCTATATTTCCAACGGCTATATTCTGGAAGCCCCCGGGTTTTTTACTTCACTCCACTTCATCAAGAATAGCCTCCGGGTACACTTACCCAGAAGCGCCCCCGGGTTGTGCCCCACACAGCACATAGCAGATGCCTTCGGGATCACTCCTCCAGAACCCAGGGCTTCATATCAGGGCACCCCTCGGGGATTCCCCCTCAGCACTACAAAACCGGGTAGCCCCCGGGGAGTTGCCTCATTGACGGATAACCCATGGCACACAGGTAATGGGAGCCCTCGGGTACCTTCATCACCAACTAATCAACAAACAGTGGACCCCCCGGTAACAACTTCATTGCCGCCCTCATCCAGCAGGCCCTCGATCCCCGGATTGAGGGGCTCCCCTTCGGCGCCACCAGGACATCAACAGCAAGCCTTCGGCTAATCAACACAGGAGCCCTCAGAAGAGAGAGCCTTCGGCATTCCCGTTATTCTCCATTTTGTACCAAGGTTTGACATTTTCGATTCATCATTGGGGGAATTCGGTGCACTCTTTTTCCCTCATTAGGATTTTTTCCCACAGGGTTTTTCCTAATGAGGTTTTTAACGAGGCATCCCCCCAAAATGAAACGAAAAATGTCAGCCTTCGGCCCACAACAGCAAACGCAACTACTCTACTCCTTTTCACCACTTTACAAGTGCCTCAAGGAGTGGGGGACTGGAGGACCCCCTCGGGAAAATCATTAAATTACAAAAATTGGTGAAATTTCAACAAACAACAAAGCAAGCCCTCAAGTCCCGACATGTGGGTAACTGAGGGACTGCCTTCGGCAGGGACATAAAAGCAACAACTCCTCACCAACTTCAGAGATCACGACGGGACAACATCAAAGGGCAAGCACAAATTACTCCTTTTCCCTCAAGTACCTTTCGGAAAAAGGAGTGAGGGACTCCTGATGGAGTATATGGCCCGGGAACCCCCGGCCCACAGACTCCTACTACTCCAGCGAAGGCCCAACAGGCCCAGAAGGCCCAACAAGCCCAGATCACAGCGCCCAGAGTACCAAGCAGCCCGCACTACGCGCCAGGGGTGCCTTCGGCCCCCTGGCCGAAGGCTCTAAACTCTCACAGGACGGGCTTCTCAAGCAAATTAAGAAACTGGGAGAAAACGGCGAAAACAGTAGCCCTCGGCACTGTGAGCCCTCGGCACCAGGGGGCCATCGGTTGGAGGAGCCCTCGGCTACTGCTCTATAGCCGAAGGCACCTCTGCCGACATGATATCCGCCCCACATGCGTACAGATCACCGTACCCTGCACAGACGTCCCATCCAACAGCCGCATTAAATGCAGCCACATGCGGCTGCCAGCGCCAACCAGTTGAGGTGACCCCTCGGCCAATGAGCGCTTGACACGTGTCCCTGCCCGGCATTTATTGCTACTATAAATAGCACCCCATTTCCCCATTTGTAACCACGCTGAAACGGCATTCATACTGAATATACTCTCTCTCTACTTTTACTTACTTGCTCTGACTTCTCTCTAAGTTATTCCCAGTAATAACCCTTCGGATATATACCCCCGGGTAGACTATCCATCACTAACATTTCTAGTCCTTCACTTATTTTGTCAAAATCATAGTGGAAGGACTAAAAATGTCAATTTGACAATAATCAGGGGACTAAATATGGGAAACTTGGAAATCGAGGTCTAAAAGTGTCTCTCACACAATAGTCGAGGACTAGAACCTAAAATATCAAAAGTCGAGTATCAAAAGTGTCACCTACACAATAGTCAAGAGATTAAAAATGGCAAAAACTCTTTTAACAACTATAAATTGTGTTTTTCCGTTTTTTGTTTAAAAAAAACTTAAATAAAGCACTTAAGAGCATCTTTCTCCATATTATTTCCTAATTTTCTATGTGAGTTTTATCTTCTCGTTGATTGTTTTTACCTCTAGTAACAAGTACTATCGTATTACATAGGGATGGACTCGGGCCGGGTTAACCCGGCCCGAACCGGTACTGTTACGGCCCGGACCGGCCCTGTGCCCGGTTCGGTCCATCCGGCCTGGCACTATAGAGGGACGGTTCCCAGGCCTCCCAAATCACGAACTGGCCCGGTCGGTTCGGGCCAATTTTTTCCTCATACTCCCTCCGTTCCCAAAAATACTTCTCACTTTCCTTTTTGGGTTGTTCCCAAAAATACTTCCCACTTTCCCATTTTGGACAATTTGTGTGGCTCACCTTCATTTTAGCTTTTTCTTACACAACCACAACCATACATTTCCACTTTATTCCATTTTCTTAATAAGCGTGCCAAGTCAAACCGGGAAGAATTTTTAGGAACGGAGGGAGTATTTTTTAAAAGGTAAATGGGTTGGGCTAGGTGTTTTGGAGGGGTTTACGGGGGTAGGAAGTAATTAGAAATCAAAAACAAAATAAATAGGGTACCCGGCCTGAACCGGCCCGCCCCAGTAACCGTCGGATGAACCGGCCTGACCCAGGCCGGTTTCCGGGCCTCACTTCTAAAAAAAGCTCGGTCGGAACCGGACCGAGGTCCGACCCGGACCGAATCGAGTCCATCCCTAGTATTACACCCTTTCTAATGACGGTAAAAGTAATACGTAGTATTTTGATGTAGTGGTATTATTTTGTAAGTTGGACTCTTTTTATCTACATATAATTTATAAATATTTAAAAAAAATCACCTTATGAGCCGGCCCCCGGCCCATGAGATCTTTGAGCTATTGCAGCTATGGACACCCCAAAGCAGATCCCAATCGCCCAACATCCAAACGAAAAGAAATTGATCTACTGACATCGAAGCCATCGCGAAACACAGCCAAAGAAACTCACCGCACAATTAGTCAGCACCAAACTACAAACCTTAATGAGGGTTACTGGTCCGCAGCTCCGAAGAGAAAGTGCAACAAACAAAGTTAAAAATAGGATTAAATATATTTTATGCTCTTCAAATAATTAAAATTTTCAAATATATGAGTTGAAAAACAAACAATTGCATTTCTATTTAAGTGTAGTATATGTTATACGAATTTCCATGACCATCTGCTTAACATATCATCTCAATACTGCAGCCATGCACTTCTTCCACCAACTATTGAAGACCTTCCATAGTTGCAACACTTTAATTTTTACATTACTCGCACATTGATCATAGTTTTCTATTAATATATACAATCAAATTATATATTATGTATAATATATCATTAAATTTCTATTGAAATGAACTTTCAAAATATTAAACGTTTATAATGTTTATTAATACGTAATTAAATATAATTACGGCCAAAGT